CAAGGCCATCTCCTCCAGCTGGAAGGCTGCTGCCCCCTCACAGCAGGCACCAGCACTCCCTGCCATCCACAGGTCTGTTTTCACCAGGATGTGAACTCCTGGAGAGCAGGGTGGGGGTCTCCCTGCTCCCAGCGCCCCCACAGCTCCCAGGGTTGCGGCCGACACAAAGCCTCCCTGGGCCTCCCTCACCTCCGAACTGCCCCAGGGCTCCTGCTGCCAAAGCACCGCCTCCTCCCTTGGGTTACCGCCGTCCCTCCCCAGGACTGACGGGAGGCTGCACCCCACTGCCTGCCCAGCCCTGCCTCTCAAGTCCCGGGGTGTCCTTTCTCCTCCTGAACGCCAGCTGCCGTCTTCTTGCAGCTCCTCCTCCCCCTCCAAGCAGTGGCCCAAGGCCTCCCCCCTCTCCTGCCCTGCACAAGCCTGGGTGCTCCGCCCACGCCCAGGGCTCCAAAGGCCATCTCTGGGCGGGAGGCTCCACCCCATGTCCCACCCTGCCCCTGCCCGGTGGGCCCCCAGCCTCACCTGTAGAGGCCACAGCCACCTCTAACTCCCCGGGCCAGACTCCTCACCTCCTTCCCCCATGGGCCCCCACCTCTGGGCTCCCCGCCGCAGTGAAGGACCACCATCAGCCTGGCACGCCAGCCCTCCCTCCCCTCAGGCCCCACTGCCCGATGGTCACCTGCCCCACCCAGTGTTCCTAGCCAGGTCCTGTCCTCAGTCTGCTCGCTGGTTCCCCTGCAGTGACCCCCTTTCTCTCGAGCTCCACCTGACGTGGAGCAACCTTTCCAAACACACCCCTCATCTACATCGCTCCTTAAAAATAAAATCCAGGAAGTCTAGCATGGGCTTCAACCTCTTTACTGTGAGATGGCAACAGGGGCAGACAATGTCTACTGAGCATTTGCCATGTGTGAAGTACGTTCTAAGTGCTTCGCACATGTTATTAATAACTCATTTAATCTTCACAACACTATTATCTTACAGGCTACTATCTTTCACAACACTACTATCTTACACACTATTTTACAGGCAAGGAAATGGAGGCACAGAGAGATTCATTAACTTGACCAATGTCACACAGCCTCGAGGTGGCCAAGCTGGGATTGGGCTCAGACAGCCTGGCTCTAGAGCCTACCCTCATAACCTGCACGGAACTATTCGGAATCCAGTGCATGTCATGATCTGATCACAAAGCCAGACCCCGCTCCCTCAAACCCTGTTCCAGCCCCCCAGCCCCCACCCAAGGCTCTGCCCCTGAACCTCACACACCTGCCCGGGCCGCGCCTCCCCGCCCACCCTCAGACGCTCCTTCTGGGACAGCCCAGCTTTACCGCCAGTCCGTCACAGGGGCTCTGCCTGCAACTGGCTGGCCCAAACCGCACAGCGCAGCACCGAATATGCAAACGGCTAGGTTAAACTGCTGGATTCAATAAAGCACATGCCGGCTCTAAAAATGAGACACATTTGGAACTCAGCCAGACTTTGCTCATTGATTCATTCTTGGTTGGAGATAAACAGAAGAGAGAATGGGTTTTGTTCGCCTCCAGAAAGACTAGAAAGGTGACCTGCCAGGGGAGGTTTAACTGTGCTGGTGACAGGGAGTCGCTGGGCTGCCCCACCCACGGCCCTGATTCCAGGGAAGGGCCCACACTGGGGCACCAGACCCAAGCGTGTGGGAGCTGGACCAGCCCTACGAGGTCGCCTCTCATCGCTGGAGCCTTATGAACACTGGTTTTGCTGCCTGGTTTTGCAAGTAAATGTTGGAACCCAGCCGTGCCCATTCGTTCATGTGCTGTCAATGGCTGTCTTCATCCCGCCACTGCCAGGCTGAGCAGCAGCGGCAGAGCTCATGTGGGCTGCACGGGCTGAAATATTTATCATCTGGCCCTTTGCAGAAAACACGTGCCGAGCCCTGTGCTAGAACAGCACTGTGCTGTTCGGAACACGGGGACGAAGGCCAGGGATGGAAAGGGAACTACCTTGTCCCCACCTCTTAGAGAGTGGGTGGCCCACCTCAGACCCATGATTCCCAGATTCTAACCCCAGACGGCTAGGGCTGGGTTTCTTTCTTAAGCAAACGAGAATCACGAGGTATTTTCCCAAAGAAAAGGTTTTCACTATCCTCCAAGAGGGTCAGCCCTGCCTCACAGGCCACTGAGCCACGTGAGCTCGGCTGCCCTGAAACCCACCTCCTTATATGTCCTCAGGTGCCCAGCGACCTCATAGTAGACCGTCACAGATCCTGCATCCTGGGCTACAGCCACGCCAGTCTTGGGGTCCACGTGGAGGATGCTGTGGGCCGAGGAGCTCCAGGTTCCTGAGAGGCCTGGGGGAAAAGCCCTGAGTGTCACCACCGTTCCCATATCTAGACGCTCCAGACAAAGCCCTGCTCACTGGGCCAGCCTCCCCATCCTGGGACTCACACCCAAGGAAGGTGCTCACTCATCCCTCTGAGGAGAGCGCCCCCCACCACTGTCACACTTCCCCTCCCCACAGCTGCAGCCCCAACGCCCCTCCCCAACACCTCCAGGTTGGACTGTCTTGCCCCACCTGGCATGAAGCTGTACCTGGTTCCTGCCCTGGGTGCTGCCTCCAGACCCCACCCTCTGCGGCCCCTCCTGCCCATCAGCTCCTTTTTAGCAGACAGCAGGTGTCAGGCTCAGAGCTGTCACTACACAGCACTTCTGAGTTAAAAGTCAATCACGTTACATAATACATACAATAAAAGGACTGAATAACCACATTCTATTCATGGAAACTTGTATTTGTTTGTCTTTAAAGGTAGTATTTAATTTCCTTTTAAAATAAACCTAATGAGGTAAAAAGAGTGGAGTCAGTTTGAAAACAAAGTAGATCATTGTACAAGTGTTCCCTGGATGGATGGATGGCAGAGGAGTGGCTGAAATTTGGAAGCCACCAAACTGGCCCACTGTCCTTTGCTTAAGTCTCCTCGCCTGTGCTGTACAAGCTGGCAGCCAGACGCCAGGGGATTACTGAAAGCAGCAAATGCAGCTCCTCGTTGTGTTAGCCACACCCCACGTGCTCACTGGCTAGAGGCTACTGAATCAGACCCTGCAGATGGAGGGCCTTCCACAAGAGCAGGAAACTCTAGCGCACAGTGCTGTTCTAGCACAGGGCTCGGCACGTGTTTTCTGCAAAGGGCCAGATGATAAATATTTCAGCCCGTGCAGCCCACATGAGCTCTGCCGCTGCTGCTCAGCCTGGCAGTGGAGGGATGAAGACAGCCATTGACAGCACATGAACGAATGGGCACGGCTGGGTTCCAACATTTACTTGCAAAATCAGGCAGCATGCTGGACTGGGCCCTCGGGCAGCAACTTCCCAAGTGCTCCTTTGGTGCATCCTGCAGGGTCCCTGCACACGTCCCCAGGGGCCTGAGCACCTCCCTAGGGCCACACCCACTCTGCACGTGCCCATCACACCCCACATTTCCCTGGGTCAGGATGTCCCTTACCTTCCAGGCTGACCAGAACAGTGCCCAGACAGAGCACGTCCCCCACTACCAAGGCTCCGGACAGCTCTGGGGAGATGGCCTGCTGGACTGGCAGGGGAACGAAGTCGGAGAGGCCCAGGTGCTCCGTGTCCCACACTCGGAGCAGCGTCAGGCCTACGCTGACCGTGCGGACGACGCAGGTGTTGTTGGCGGAGCCCCTCCCAATCTGCACAAAGTCATCTCTAGGCACAGGGGAAAGAGGGGCTCTCAGTCCCCAGAAAGAAGCCCCAGTTCCAGCGGGGGATGGGCAGTGTAGGTCCTCAGCTGAGCGACACTTTCCTCCAGCTGAGATCCCAGAAGCTGCTCCACCTCGAGGTCGCTGAGGATGCCCAGGCAGGCAGAGCGAGCTGAACCCTGCTCGCCTGCCCAGGAGGAGCCCACAGCCCTCGGCCGCGGCTGCCGGCATTGTGTCCCCGCACTCCAACTGCCGTGGCGCAGGGAGGACCGTGGTCACAGTGTGTCCCGGCCTCTTCCCAGCGGGGAGCAGACAGACTGGGAAGGCACAGGCTGCGCCTGGCCATGTAACGGGAACAAGTATCGCAGCCTGTGCCCATTTCCTCCACCGTGATGTGGAGCAGGACGTCCCTGTGCCGCAGGCCTGGCGAGAGCATAGTGAGGGCAGCAGGGCAGAGCACCAGGACAACGCCTGGCGCATGGCATGTGCTCGGTCAGCATCTGCTTCGGCCACTTGGTACGGAGTCAGGACTGGCAGTGAGGATCTCTCTGGCTGTCTCCCGCGCCCCCACTCGCCTTCTGGCCTAGAGTCTGACTGGGTCTCTTGGAGGGGCTCTGGCCACAAGTGGGCAGAGGGGTTTGTGCAGTGCGCTGAGGGGCCTGCCTCTGCCCCAGGCTGACAGAGGCCACACAGAGCCCTGCAGATGCCAGAGGCCCTCACGACCACCCCTCGGGTGAAGACCCTGGGGACTAAGCCACATTCCCCCATGACAGGCATGGAAACAGGTTGGGGGTGACCTGCCTGGCCCAGGTTCACTGGCCCCACAAAGGGCAGAGCTGGGGCCAGCAGGAGGCCCTGGTTCTTCCCATAAGGCAATGCCCCTAACACCTGTCCCTGAAACACATCTGTCACAGGGCCCAGGTTAGAAGGGTCACCAACACCTGGGGACAATCTTCTGGCCCTCAGGGAGCATTCCCTGGAGCCCCATCCCACACCCCACTCCTTTCTCTTGGGACCGATGCTCATTGTGTCTTCTCTGAGCTGGGCTGCAGTGCCCTAGGGTGCCCCTCTGTGACCCTGCATGGCATGGCACGCCCCTTCTTTTGGAAACCGAGCACAGTTCGGAGCCCACAGCCATCATCCTTCCACAGCACCGGCCTCCATCAGTTAAGGCCCTTGTAGTTCAGAAATGAGTATCGCCCACACCCAACCTGTTAGTGGCAAAGTTGAGGACTGAATTGTGAGCGTGGAAGACGTCTCCAGAGTTGTCGTGGAAGTGCACAGTGAAGGTCACAGTCATCCCCAAAGGCAGGGCTGCCAGGGCCTCCTTGTTCTGGGTGTGCAGGACGGGGCTCATGGAAAACCTCAGGTAAGACACAGGAGACACCTGGGGGACAACAAGCGAGTGTAATGAAGACTCAGCACTGGGGACCGGCTCCCGGGAAACCCACCTCCCAAGGCAGGTCCCCATCTCAGGAGCAGCTGGAAACTAGACTGACTTAGGGGCTACAAGAAGAGGACAGTCCTTGATCTCCAGAGTGGCCCCCCTAGTGACAAGGTTCCCATCTCCCAACACAATGGTCCAGCCTCACTACAGGAAAACCCACCCAGTTGAGTCGAAATCCACAACCCGGAAAAATGAGATCCAAATTGCAAAAAGGGGCCCTCAGCTGCAAATGCCCCATTTCCACAGAGGACCTGCCTTTCAGGCACTGAGAGCAGCAGCAAGGCCCTCCTGGATTGCAGGGGTGGCACGGCGGTCACATGCCTGCAGTGACCAGGGAAGGAGGACATGTGGGTTTCTGGAGCCCAGAGAACCGAGCTCCGCAAACAGCAGCCTTGGTTCTCTGAATCCAGATAGAAATCTATTGTGGCCAAAAAGCCCCATAAGTACAAATTTCTTTGACTCTAGTGTCTGGTATACAGCAAGTGCTCAAAACATATTTGTTGAAACAGGATGACCCGTCAGTCACTTTCGGTCACTTAAAACTAGCTTATGGTGGAGGGTGGTCCTGCGAGGCACCCACCTTTAACCAAAAAGACATTCATTAATGGAGCAGGCCTGTGACCCAGGCAAAGCCTGGAGATTCGAGTGGGCGTGCACCTCCTGTCATCCAGGGTTCAAAAGTGGCAACGGTGAGATGCGGGCAGAAGATTCTACTAAGGATAAATCCCAGAATCCGGCCCAGGACACCCAGGTCAGGGCCTGACCCTCAGAGCAAGGGTGCAGAGGAGAGTACCATGCTGTGACGGAAGGGCACAGTCCCCAGCTAGGCAGACTCTGCCTCTCAACGCCTGTGTGACCTGGAGGCAGTCCCATTGTGAGCCTCAGTTTCCTTATCTGTAAAACAGACCACCTCGCTCTCTAAACTGCACTGAATGTCACGCGCTGGGTGACATTTGTGTGGTGGCGCCAGAGCACCTCACTCAATGCCCCCCAGAACCGTCCGTGCTCTAGGTGCGGGGCTGGCCCAGAGCAGGGGCTCCCCATCGTGGTGACGATGTCCGTGGCCAGGCACGGCAGGCGGAACACCGGCACTCGGACAGGAAGCTGTAGTGCCCATCCCAGCTCTGTGACCCTACGCCAATCATGGATCTCACTGGGCCTCAGTTTCCTCATCCATAAGACAAGGTACTTGGAATCAATGATCTCCAAAGATCTTTGCCTCTGTCGGCCAGAAGATGCTGTGGATTTTTATCTATCTAAGACCTTTGCCCGAGTTATTCTTACATAAATTCCTACCTCCAATTTCTCAGCTGGAAGGTGGATACATTCACTTTAACACCTGAGAGGGAGGAGATATTACCTCACTGCTGTTGTTTTTATTGCTCCCCAAATGGGGAAAACATGGTCCTACCTTTACGCCAACAACGATGGTTTGGTTGGTCCCAAAAGGCTCTTGTGCAGTCACTTCAATTGTGGACGTCCCCATCACAGACCCTGACACCAGGAAGCCCTTCTCATCAATGTGCACGACAGGAACCTGCTCGGGCCCATCCAGGACACGGTAGCTCAGAGAGGCCGCACCATCCCTACAGAAAGTAAAACAAACCTGTTTTCACAGACGGAGGTGGCGAGGAGCCCGGATACGAGGCCAGAAGACCCAGCATCTGAGGTTCCCCGTGGCCCCTCCCTCTGCGAGAAGAAAGCCCAGTCTTGGCCCCGCCGTGCCTCAGCCACGTGCCATCAGCTCTCTGCAGCCTGCTCAGTCCCCCAGGGAAAAGTCATTTGGAAACCACCAGTCCCAGGGCAGCGTGGCTTCTCATGCTTGGGACACAAGCACCTGGTGCAAGTGCCCAGCAGGGAAGGAGCGACCAAGAGGGGGAGTTTCTTTCCTCAGCCACGTGGCACCTTTGTTGTCAAAGACTTGTTTTCTGTGTACTGAATGGAGGCAGCCGGGGGCACCAGAGAGAGGACGGGGTTTGAGTGGACAGAAGCCAAGGCCCGGCCCAACGCTCTGTGCCAAGGGCAGTGTGCACATCATGTTCCTCTCTGGGACTGGGTGTCCTCAGGTGTGAAAAGGAAGCTCATTAGGATACGAATAAGCCACTTGCTAAGGGAGGGTTTGTAAACCACTGCTGCTGTGCTTGGGCGGGAGACAAATCACACGGTACGTTAACATCCTTTTACATATGCACAGATATTATGAACAAACACGGGGAGGAAAGGCCACCAGCTCCCCGGCCCGGCCCCCTCACCTCCCCCTCTGGCCAAGCCCCACACGCCCTCTCCGGACAGTTCCAAGCAAGTGGCCTTGCCCCTGCCTCGACTCTCTCCCCCACCAACCCTCCGCTTCCCGAGGAGCCGCTTCCGTCCTCCTAGACCCGGCTGCTCGTCGGCATCGCGCCGCCCCTAAATCCTCACGGGCAGCGCCCTTCTCTGGGCTCTGGCTTAAACACCGCACCTCGCTCTCTCGCAGCGCTTCTCACGCTCTCCTCCTGCAGGCGCCCGTGTATTCACCTCTGTGTTCCCGGAGCCTGGCACTTAGACTTTGGGTTGAATGACCGCGGTGTGTGTGTCACGTAATGTGTAAGTGCTCCTGTGGCCTCCACAGCCCTCCACTACGCAACTGCCATTCAAATGCAAGTCACCCTTTCGAAAGGCATGGCCTCTGAACCAACTCTAGGAATTACGTTTGCAGAGGAGCCTTAACACAGCGCTTCCCAAACGGAAGCAGCCCCATCGCCCCGGGCTGCTGTCAGAGCGGCTTCTCCCTGGGCAGCCATGGGGGGTGGGGGGCAGAGACCTGCATTTCCAGCCTCCTGGTGATGCTGACACTGCTGGTTCATGGACTACACTTTCGGTGGCAAAAGCTGAAAGCACAGGGGCGGCATTTGAAAAATTTAACACTTCCAAGTCAGTACTTTTGGCCATTTTCAATACTGAATTTCAGAAGCTGACATGAAAACATTTCTAGGCCACAGGGAGGAAAGACACCCATGGGCTGGGGGACTGTGGAGGAGCAGAGGAGTCCGCAGCAAAGAGGAGCACACAGAGGCCAGCCCTCTCCAAGGGCATCCCCAGCGATTCCCGTGAAGCCCCACGGCTCCTGACAGCTGCGGCACGTGTACCGCTGGACGCAAGCACAGCGTCACAGCCTTGCTGAACTCGAGAGCTGAGCCATGCACCTGTTTGTCTGGAGCTTCATAAATGAGTTGGGTGCCATTAAGATTTGTTCTGCTTCTATTCCGGGGTTGAGCAGTAGCAGCTTGTCAAATACCTGGAAAAGAAGGCAGTTTTATTTTCTGAGTGCACTGCAGGCACGTCTAGGCCAGGTGTTTGCTTCTCCCCTAGCAGCCAGAGCCGGGGGAGCAGAGATGAGGAAGGGAGCCTCCTCACCTGCCAGGTGGCTGGCGACATGAGGGGAAGGGCTGACCTTCCCAAGAGGCCACCAGAGTGATGAGAAAGGCAGGCAGGCTCACGTCTGCACTGCGACAGGAGCTGCTCCACGGAGCCTCACGCAGGCCTCCCCTCCATTCCCAGTTAGAGAGAACCTCACCTGGCAGGACGCACCTGTGCACGGGGCAGCATGCAGAACTCCAGCGCCCAAGGCCTCACCCAGGGGTCGCTCTGCCAGGACTGAGCCTGGGGAAGGCTGCACCCACACTGTCCTTTCTCTCATGGGGATACCCTGCTCCTCACTGCCACCGTCTCAGAACTACCCTTCCCATAGCCTTGGCCCTACCTGGTTCCCTGTCTAGTCACACTCTTGCAGGATCCACACGGACCACACGCACGAGTGTGTCAGTGACCTCAGTGCCGCCGATGTAAAACCTTGTAACAAAAGACCTGAGCCCAGTGCTCCCAGGTGCTCTGAGGCCCTCGCTGGCTCCTGGAGTCCACGGTGGCAGCACTCACCTGGTAACTCCAGACCCCTTCTATGAGAGGCTCCTGATGAGCTCGTCCCCTACAAGAGCTTAGCCCTTGTCTAAGCTCCTAAGGCTGCTGGCTTCTGTGGCCTCCCAGCCTGGCTCAGGGACCACCTAGGGAGGCTGAAGCCAGAGGATTGCTGAAGCCCAGGAGTTTGAGGTTACAGCAAGCTATGACGATATCACTGGAGCAAGCTATGACGATGCCACTGCACTCTAGCCCAGGCAACAGAGCCAGACCCTGTCTCTGAAAACAAAACAACTAATAATCCCTGCCAGGCCTGTTTCAAAGAGTTGTGGGATTTGTGAGACATAATGCGAGGGGTAGCACTTCCTGAACAGTGAATGAGAAACAGCCTCTGGGAGCCAGCGTGTGTTCCAGCGTCAGGTGGGGCAGGGTGGGTACAGACACCACCTTCTGCCAGCGTGTGACTTCGAGACTGAAGCAGCCTCCCTTGCTTTGACTCAGATGCGCTCACTGCACAGCAAACACATCCACAATAGGTTTCCTTCTATTTTTCTTAAAACATGTATTCTTTGTCCTCCTTCTTTAGATGGAGGCAAAGTTATGAGCTATTTCCCACTTTCCTGTTAACTATCAGCAAACCCAGAGTGCAAGCACCATGGCAAACGGCAACTGATGGTGGACATGGCAGTCAGGGAGGCGGCAGGGTGCGGTGGGGCCTGTGGCAAATGGAGGGCGCGGCTCTAAAGAAAGTGGAGGCTGCTTCTCCTCTCCCGCTGATCTCGCCATGGGGCAAGCGCTGTATCTCCAGGACTAGCTGCCTATTAGGCAGATAGAATCTTCCTATTTTTAAGTGTTGGCAACAAATAAAAGTTGTTTCAAAGGCCTGAGTGAGCCGAATAAAACTTATCTGTGGGCCGGATGCAGCTTCTCTAGTTCCTGATATATTCAAACTCAATCTGCTGTCAGGTAGGGAAACTGAGGCAGAGAGCTGTACAGTGACCCAACTGAGGTCACAGAATTTGGAAGTTGCAAAGACCTGTCTTTATTTCTACGGTATGTTCCAGAACCCACTTTGTGTTATTCACCAGGAAGAACATGTGTTTGTGTGAGCATATGGGCGCGTATCCTGTGACGTCACTCCTCTGTGCCCTTCAGTCAGCCCCACCTCCGGGCTCCCACAGCACCTTCTGCACCCCGACGCCCACCACCCTGCGATGAGTTTGTCTGTCACCCTCAGCAGAGTGAAGCCTCCTCAGGGCCAGAGCTCCCAGAACCCAGACCTGGCCCAGTCCCGGGGTGGCCCCAGGGAGGCCCTCTGGGCTGCTGCCACTGGGCTGCTCCCACACAGCCTCTGTGAACCGGCCCTTACCTGGATCTGGATCTCGTCAGACAGCTCCTTGGCGAGGCCACGCAGCTGCCCGGCCGTGGGGTCCAGAGCCTTGACCACCACCCTCAGCCCAGTGCGGCCTTTCACCCGGCCCAGCACATCCATGGCAAAGTTGTGCTGTGACGGGAGCCGGATTGACACCTGGGGAAGACATCAAATGTATCTTCAGGGAAAGGCCGGGGTGACTGCATCCCCCAAAAGGCAGAGCTGGATGGCAGCCCCAGACTCCCCCCACCTCGGGTCCTGACGGCTGCCTGTCTATTCACAAAGGCCGCCGCCTTCCTGCCTGGGTCGGGTCGGCTGACCCCAGGGCTGTGGACTTGCAGCCACCTTGGCATGGGCGCACATGCCTCACATTGCCTGTTTCACCACGTGCATGAGTGTGTTTGGAAAATGCTGGGTCAACCCACGGGAGCCAGTGGTCTTGAGGGCAGAGGGTCTCAGTCTTTCGTGCATGGAGATCACCTAGGGGGATGCTAGCTTTTGCAATGTGCCCCTGCAGAGCCTGTTTTGGTACTGGATCTCTGCTGGTAAGTCACACTGCCCTGTTCCATACAAGCCATCTGGGGAAGCCCCAGGGACTGGGAATAAGACCCTCTTACCACTGGGTTTGGGAAGGCATCCGTCCTATACTAGGCGAGTTTCAGGCAGCCTTCGGGAAACCCCATCCTTATGCCTGGGTCCCTCCCCAGGCCTCTATCCTCACTGCTCTGGATGAGGCAGGAAGTAGCCTCCACCCCACCCTCCACCTGGGTCCCATGTGCCACTGCCCACACAGGACTGCAGCCTGGAGCCACAGTGGCCAGTGCCCAGTTCCATTTCCCCACTGGCTTGTTGGGTAACTTCAGGCAGGGTCCTTCCCGTTTCTGGACTTTAGTTAACATACAGAGGGGTTTAGATGGTTCTCTACAGCACCTTTCCCTCTGAGATCTCAGGTGCAGCCAGGGGCCCCTATGCAGGGCCAAGGGAAGGGGAGCTTAGCCTCTGCCATGGAATAGGAGAAAACCCCAGGGCTGTCGGGCATTGTCTCAGAAGGCGGGTCCCTACAGATGAGACTCTGTGACCTTCTAGGCCTTTCGTGATTTCTCTCAAGGCTGCTGACTGCGTTGCCTCCTTTGTCGGCAGACTTACCTGCCAACCCCATCTCTCGCAGTTAGCATCTGGGAGAAGGGAGGCTCAACAAGCCTGGGGGTAAGGCTGGAGAGCCAGGACCCTGCTGGGTGCGAAGGTGGGGGCCTCCTGGGAGACAATGTGACAGGAACCCTCCCTGCCCCTCGGGGCACTGGCCTGGCAGCCTCTGGGCAGATAGTTACCTCATGGTGCCGCCCTCGGAGGTCCAGGATATCCCGCTTGGTGACAGACCAGTGGAAGGTCAGGCCTGGCATAGCATTGCCAAAGGAGAAAGGGTTCTGGTGGTTGGTGATCCCAGTGACGTAGACAGGCATCTGCAGGGAGAAGTGAGGCCCCTTGACCACTGGGTTCCAGTACCAGCAATGCCAGCAAAAGGCAAAAACAGGTGCTGAGCCAGGCTGCCCCGTCAACTCCAAGTGCCATCACTTACTAGCATGATCTTAGGCATGAATCTTACACTTTCTGTGTGTTCATTTCTCATCTGTGACGTGGAAAGGGTCTGACACCAGCTTCATGGGACCATCATGAACACCAAATGGATGAACATAGACAGCACACAGTAGAGTAAGTGCCCTGTATGCATGTGCTTCTGTTAGGTGCCAGCAGCTATTCTAGGTGTGGGCAGGTGACAGTCTAGCAGAAAGCAAGCATTCGTTGGTGACTGTGCACACTTGGAACCGCAGGGATGAATGCAATGCGTAAGAGAAGCTTTGTGCAGGAGAGTGACAGGGTGTCTGCTTGGTGTGAGGCAGGAAGTAGAGCTAGACAGGGGCCAGTAAGCAGATGAGGGGGGAGTGAGGTACTCTAGCTCAAGTAACAGTGTTTGTGCTATAGCTCTTTTGGAACCAGGATTCAGAGACCAAGACCTCCCAACAGGCTGCTCGGAGAGCAAGGCAGGAGGGGCTTGGGAGGTTCTCGCCTCACCTGGGTCCCTGTCCTCATCCGCGTGATAGGGACACGGATCCTCACCGCCTGGAGCAACAGCACCTCCACCTCCACGAGATCCTAGGAAAAGAGCGTGGGCTCAGGCTGGCTGGGCAGATGGACCCTGTGCCTGCTGGGCAAAGGATACCGATGGGTGTTTTAGGAAGGGACCCCTCCAAGGGAAGGAGGCTAGAAGACACCCTCAGGACGCCCAGCACCACACTCCTCTGCCCAAGGAGGCCTGGCTTTGTGGGTGGCTCGTCCCATGTGGGCCAGCCACTACCTCTCCCACACACGCCAGGAGTCCCAGCCTAGTTCTCTGGGCCTGCACACCTGTCTAATCCAGCTACCCCACGTCAGCACAGCAGACTTGGGGCCAGGAATGAGGTCTGCTCTTTTCTGGGCTTAACAGCCCTCACAGGACAGGTCTCCAGACCCTCTCACACTTACACCCAGCCTGGGGGTCTCTCTGACTGAGCAGGGGACAAGGATGAATGGAGGAGCCTGGCAGAGTCTTAACAGAGCAGACCTTACACCCCCTTCATGCTCAAGTCCAGCCGGTCACTCTGGCCTCTGCACTGCACTGTTGACCCACGTGGAACCCAAGGCTGCTCAAACCCTCACACCCTTCTGACATGTGCTCCTGCTGAGCCATCTTCTGAGCATTGTGATTTGGGCTTGATAAACATTTGTTCCCCTCCTTGCTTCATCCTTCTCGTTCCGCAGCCTCTTCCTGCCAGTCCTGGACCACTCTGAGGCCTTGGGGTACTGATCCTGTGACCTGGACTAGACAGGACTGGGAGGCGACGTGGCTCTCAGGGCAAGACCCCGCCTGATGGGGGCTCCGGAAGATGTCTCAGATGGGGCTGGTACAGTCCCAGTGCTTCTTGTCTTTATAGAATCCACACACAGGATCAGGGCATCCACCTTTGTGACTCAGAAAGACTGTGTGGTTTAACGGAATACTTGGAGGCAAGCACTAAACCTGCCGGAAAAAGAAGTAAATGGATCAACTCCATGTAGGATCAAAGTCAGCCTAGGAGAACAAAGACTGTCTCAGGCCCACCAGGGCGGATGCTCTCCAGCCTCCTGGCGCTGTGTTCAGAAGCTCTGAGATAACAGCAGCACGGGGAATGCTCCCGGGGCCTAATTCTGGAGGAGGCACAGGATGGCCGAGTGCTGAAGTTGAGACTTGTCCACAGTCACATAGTAGGACAGAACGCTCTGCTTACAGACCAGGTTTCTGGCCTAGCTGGGGGGTGGGGGTCCCAGAGCAGCCCTCCCTGTGGTGCTTCTGCAGTCACTGTGGGAAAGGGAGCCTCCAAAGGTCCTCACTGTAGCCCTGAGCCTTGTCAGGGGTGGAAATGATCTCCCACCTCCTTTCTAGAGGATCAAAGCGGACCCTCCTAGAAGGAAGGAAGGAAGGGAAGTTGTTAGACTCTCCAGATACTTTCACCTGCTTGAAGTTGTCCCTCTGCAGGGGCAGGGAGGCCCTCCCAGGGAGAAGATTCCCCTGACTCAGCCTGCCACTCCACTACCAACCAAAAAAAGCAGATAGAAAGCCCCCACTCCACAAAGAGAACTAAACCCCTGACAGAGCAAAAGATGCCAGTGGGCGACTCGGGTTCTTTCTCTCCTGGAAATACAAATACTGGTCTGCAGTACTACTTGTTTCAAAGATCCGCCCTCACAGAGCACACTTCTGGAGACACGCTGCAACCCAAATGTGCATCGCAGCCAACCACACCCCATCCTCTTCCATCAGCACATCCTTAAGCACTGGTTCAAATGAACCAACAAAAGGACTGAGAGCTCTGGGCTCTGGCCAAGTCTCAGAATGCCACATGGTGGCCACAGGCCACCGGCTAATACCTTAGGCTCCTCACTTGCAAACAGGGATAGCAGGAAAGTGCACAACGGAGCCAAGACGACTAAAGGAGATGAATATAAAGTGTTCAGAGCAGTGTCTGCCATCACTATACCCTGAATGTCCCTGGATGGGGGCTGGAGATTGCGTCCCCTAGGAGCAGCTGGAAGGGCTGGCAGACCGGCCTGGAGAAGAGCAGCCCCAGGAGTCCGGGTGCTCCCACAGGGCTGTCCCGACAGGAGCACCAGGCAGGGCCTGCAGACCCAGAGGGCAGAACCAGGACCCTTGGAGGGCAGAACCAGGATCCTTGGGAGGCAGAACCCAAACCCAGGCAAGAGGGCTTCATCCTAGTCACAGCCGGCCACAGGGACTCTAGCTGCCCTGGGCAGCAGTGTGCCCACCACCAAGGCCCCCGCCAGGGGGGCACTCAGCTAGCACCAGCTTCCAGCAGCGCATCTGTCACCTGAGAGACGGTGACCACCTTGCCGGTCTCCACATCCACGGCCTGCACGAGCCCAGACACGGTGGCGTTGCCAACGGCCAGCCCCCGCACCAGCCCGGTGCTGCTCACCAGCGCAGCGCTCTCGTTGCTGACGGAGAAAAGGATGTTGGACTGAGGCTGGGGGCCGCCCTCGGAGGTGACCTGAGGGAGGAGAAGCAGAGGCGTGTCTGTGCCTGCTGGGCCAGGCAGCCTGCGCCTCCCTAGGACAGCGAGGGCACCAGTGCCAGGGGCTTCCACCTCAGCTTGCGTGGTGCCATGCCAGGACAGAGACCATCAAAGCGGGACACCTGGAGCCAGGGTGGCAGGCAGTGGTCTTGCTGGGGCCTGGCCCAGGCCAGTGATGGGAAAGGACGTGTGGCCTCTCGGCCCTCACCTGCATCGTGGCCCCGATAAGCAGCGTCACCTTCCTGGGCATCAATCTGAACGGGGGAAAGACCTGGACAGGAGACACAAGATAGAAAGGACTATTGTGCTCCAAGTTCACGCTGGCCAAACATAATTCGCACTTCGCATTTTTCACGAGAGGAAAATATGGCATATAAACATCACTCTTCTGTGAAGAGTGACTGGTGAGCCTGTGTCCCACCCCACTGGCCGAGCCTCTGCAGTTCTCCGGAGTGTCTTCTGTCCGAGTGTCTTCTGCACTTCATTTCACCAGACGCTAAACCCCATGGAAATAGGGGCTTTTACCCATGAGTCATCCCTTTGAGCAGCAGTTCTCAGCTGTGGTTCCTGACTGGCAGCAGCAGCGCTGCCTGAGGACGAGTCAGAAATGCACGTCCTCCGGCCCACCCTAGGCCCGCAGAGCCAGAGGTGGGCCTGCGCTCTGTGTTCTCACCAGTCCTCCAGGAAGCTTGCCATCCACTGGCATCAGGGTTCCCTGGCTCCTGGGTTGCTTCTTTCATGAAATTGCTCCTAATTTCTACTGAAAGAATGCCTTAGAGTAGCTCTCTACCTCAGTACCCTCAAAGTTTGTCAGATGAGAAACAAGGGGCTCCAGGGGCGAGGACAAGCCCAAGCAGAGACCAGGGATGCTAGGGCCCCAGCCTCTGGAGAGCGGCAAAGCCCCACCCACTCCCCAGCAGTGCCTTGCAAGTCCCCATTCAGCAGGAGCTTAGAAGTGCTTGTAGGTGAGTGAATGCGTGAGTCGGCCAAGATGCTGCTTTGTGTGGGAGGATTGGTCTCAATAGGGCTGTGCTATTTATAGGCAGCAATGAATTCCTCATCACCAGGAGAAGAGAGGCGCACATCCATCTGGAGGCACAAGCTACATCCACCAGCGCTGGAACATGGATTAACGGAGTTCACCGGCCCCTGCACGGCCCAGGCCCAGGGAGGAAGCAGTCAGGGCCAGCCCACTGCTGCTGCTGCTGGACAGACGTGCGCTGAGTCTTGGTGGCCTCCAGCTGCTGTGGGGCTCCGGCCCTAACCCAATACCATGGGACAGCCCCACAGCACACTCTGAGATGGCGCAGGGACCTCAGAGCGCCCTGCGTCTGGGCACTGTCTGCCCGGGAGTTTCCCGCGCCCGGGACAGGCGGCCCTGCCCTCTAAGTGCTGGTTCTGAGGCTCAGACCCACGGCGGAAGCCCAGAGCCGACTGAAGCCCCATCTAGTCACTGCTTTCCGGGAATAGTTCCTGCTTGCCCCCTTGTCACATGATGAGGCACGCCCCTCTCTGAGCCACACGACCCCCACATCATGGAGGGAAGACAAGTCTCCCAGTCCCCTGCCATCCCCGGGGCTAACTGTGCTGCCTCCTGGCCCCCTGGACTGGCAGCCGCCTCCCAGGGCGCAGGTGTCAACAGCAGCCTCAGTGCGCTCTCGGACTGCTGCTAAACTCCCAGCCTCTCACAATAAAGACACCCCTCCCCACACCCCAGTGGTGTAAGAAGGAATGGTTTTACTTCGATCTGTTGTGGGGCTGAGCTGATTCTCTGGCGGGCTTTATCAGTTACACTTGCGGTCAGACTGGTCTGGCCAATGGCCACGCCGTGGACGAGGAACGTGGCGGTGTAGCTGTCGAGGGCTTCATCGAGGGCCCTGAAACAGACAGAGGGGCTGGGACTTCTCCGCCAAGACAGACCTGTGGGAGAGGCTGCGGCTGGGACTACGGCTATCCCCAAGACGCCCTCCTCCGACCCTGGACGGACTCACACCAACGTGACAATCTGGGAGGCTGCTTGGAGCTTCAGGTCCATGAACGGGAAGTATTTGGCCAGGAAAGGCTTCTTGTAGAAGTCCAGCACGCGGATGTGTGCCTTCACTGTCTTCCCAATCTCCACCTACACAGTGGGGGTGAGGCTCAGAGGGGCCTCTGGAGACCAATCCCACAACCTCTAGTCCCCTGCACTTCCTGAGATAGCACCACCAGCCTCAAACCCACCACTCTGTGACTATGGACTACGAGCTCATAAACAAATGAAAATTAAGTGCTCACTGTATACTAGGGGGTTGGGGACTCCTAGCAGCATAAATCCCACTCCCTACTCTTAACCCTTTGCACTCGGATGTCAAGTGTGACTCGACACGGTTAGCATTGGTAGCAGCTCACACCATGAAAAATTATACAGATTAAAATTACTCTTTGAATGTATCAATAATTTGAAATATTAAAAATCCAAATAAATAAGTTTGTATGCAAAGAAACTCCAGTTTTTGTAAAATCTGGGGTATTTAAAAAATTAAATCCCGAGTAGAATAAAGGAATTGAGAAAAAACCAAGCGAGTACAAAAGGTTAAAGAACTAACAACCTTGTCAGGGAGATGAGGCACAGTTTAGAACAGGAGCAGGTAAACAGCAGGAGTTCAATAAATGTGCACTGACTGAACAGCTCCTACCTGGGCATGTACAATACAGTTAGAACTTTAAGAAATGAGAGTCAGGAATACTTAGTGAGGAAAAAGAAATCTAGTCAGTAAATCAGAGGTGGAAATAAGGTTAGAGGGACCCATCTGAGGCCGGGGCTGAGAATGTCAGCATTTTAGATAGTCTGAATATTTCCCTTCCAATTACTAACCTTCTTTCCATTCAGGAAAACAGGGACTTAACAGCAACCCTCGGGAAGCCTAGTTTCAGTTCCCTTGGATATTTAGAGAAATAAAAATTTCCTATTTATATGAAAGAAAAACCTAGATCTATCATTGATTCATTTTTGCAATGGCACTTGGCATTAGTGAGTTTACTCATTTGCCGCTGAAACTCCAGAGAATCTAAACCATGTATTCTGGAGAGAAAATTCATGCTCAGCAAGGTGTGTGCCTGGCTGGTTAGTAAGCTACCCAAGCCAGAGGACAGGGAGTCCCAAGTCAAGGCTAATCTAGGGACAACTTCAAGCAGGATTTACTGCCCAGACTCAGGGAGAAATGTCAAGTGGGATGAAGAAATGCATCACCAGTGGTCACTCTGCACATGCGCATGGGAGGAAGGAGGTAAGAGACCACGCTGTGAGCCCACATGGTGGAAGGACACAAACACCAGGAGAAAAGCCACAGGTGATGAGGAAGCCATCTCCCGCAGCCACATCATTCTCCTAGAATCTAGGACTCTGCAGAGGGCCCGAGTCACGGAGCTTCCACTGACCTTGTCAACCACGCGGACGTACAGCTCCTGAATGTCTGAGACGTAAACCATGGCCTTTGCTGGGGCTGGGAAGGTGAGGCACAAGTCGTGGATCATGACGGTCGCTGTGCCCGGGAGCAAAGGGTGAACCTGCAAGGTCAGAGGGCCTGGGTCACGTGGGCTGCAGGGCCCCAACTCTGCTTCCAGGACCTTGCGTGGCTCCTCACCCTCAGCAGCAAACTGTCACCCCATGGACACTGTGGCCGGGCCCCACCGGGCCAACATGTGAAGTATGGACAAGGGAAGTCCTAACCCAAACAGTGCCCTGTCCACCTTTCCTCATGAACCCCACTGCCAGCCAGGGGTGGGCTCGGCATGCAAAGCGCTAGTGCAGGACGGGTTGTGGAGGACAGTCGCCTCAACCTGCACACTCTGCAAAGAAGATGGAAGCTGTTCGGAGGGGCAGTCGGCAGCCTCGGGGGACACAGTCACTGGGAGGTGGAGTGAGGATTCAAACCCAGGAAGCCACATCCTGCGCTGGCCGCCCACTGCTGCAGCCCTGGTGATAGAGCACCCTGTGGGTCTTCTGTGACCCCAAGTCAGGGCCGGCAGAACATGAGGCAGGCTTCAACAGCAGCTCTCCCTTAGAAGTCCCCACGGAACCCACAGAATCATGGAAACTGGGAGCAGACCGCAGAGGTCACCCCGAGGCAAGCTCTCTGCATCTCGTTCATCTCTACAGCCCTCCCTTTGTGTGAAGTAGCGACCTCCCGAGAAGTTGGGAGTGAATGAACACTCCTGAGCCAGTGTTTTCTAGGCTTTCCACTGCAAAGACACCCTCTTTTAATCCTTCTTTTCTCTCCACCCACTTTCAAGGATCCACCTTCAAAAGAATCTCTCCCCTAACAAACCGCATTATCACCACCCTCTCCTGCTGCAGGTGATGGGTGTTCACACATGTGACGCCTGTCTGTTTACAGTGCACTTGGTGTACTTGTCACACTGCTCAGGTGTGTGCCACCTGGGTAGGCTGTGAATCCGGGCATGGGGTGAGCCCTGCAGGCTGCCTCCCGCCTCCATCTCAGCCTGGCTGTGTTGCTTGCAGTTTAGGGTCTCGTTTTCACGGGTTGTGTTTACAGCAAGCACTTCAGTGTCTACAAAGCTAGAATTTTTTTTCTTCCCCCCCACGAAAGCTAGAATTTTAATATCAATAATCTATTAAAAAGAAAAACAACAGGTTTCTGACCCAAAGGAGGCATCCAAATGTGATCACATCACACCCAGGTTCAAATCCTTCTATGGATGCCCAGGACTCTGAGAATGAGCCCAAACCCTTTGCATACCCTATAAACCCTGGCCTGGCCTGGTCCCTGCCTCTACTGCAGTCTCCCCGCACACCACACCTCCCACCACCTTTAGGCTCCAGCCACATTGGCCTCTCTCATCCTCAAAGCCAGCCAGTGCCCGCCTGCCTGCCTCAGGCCCTCCCAGTCCACCCTAAAGACTTGGGACTCTTCTTCCCCAGCCTTCAGCCGCCGCCTTCAACTCACCCCTCAGGCCCCAGTCCCAGCACCCTCCCCCAGGAAGGTCTCCCTGATCATCTGTGCTCTCCTCCCTGGCTGGCACCACTGGGGCAGTCCATGTGGACCACCGCTCAGTGCACCCTTCCCCACCGGGCTGTCCGCAGCCCTACAGAAGCCTCGGGACTGAGCCTAGTGTCTGGCCAGATAGCCCCCATGAATGTGTCACAGTTAGATCCAGGGCCACCGCTCTCAAGGAACCTGGTGCATTTGTCTGCTTGGCTTCACGGAGAATGAAACCAGCTTTGTTAAAATTTGGAAATTCTGAAAAATGCGTGCAAACCTCATATACCCTCATTGCTGATTCTGCTCCAACCCTTCCAATGTACAGGTGGGGAAACTGAGGCTGAGATAACGACATAGGAATTCAGCTCAGAAGGAGCAGAGTGGGGATGGAACCAGGTACCCTAACTTCCAGTTTAGGGTCCTCGTTGGATGCCCTCCACCGCCCAGGGGACAGGGCTTGATGCCTCTCTTGGCCAGCATGGAACTGCAGGCAGGGCCTATGTAGTCTCAGCCATCACCATGAGAGCCTGGTGTCAAACACGGGCTGAGGGATGGGGTCTGGGGGCTACCAGGTCTCTGGTTTTGCCAGGACCAATTCACTCTGGTTTATTACATTTCCCACAAATTGAAAAATCACAGAGAAAAATGAGAGGCTTTTCTAAGAACACAATTAGAGGCTCTGACCTGACACTTCTGCAAAAGCCACTGCTGTCAGGAGCTAGCACGCCCTTCACGACGTGAAGAAATTACATGGTGCACCCACTGCCGAGGGGCCCACGCAGGGCAAAGCAGGGCAGGGCGTTTTTCTATCTTTTACTGTTGTTCCTCTCCTTCAAAAGGACCATTTTGCACATTTTAAACAAAGACATAAAATGGTGGTGAGGAAATCAGTTCCTCTTCCACTCCATTTCCCAGGGGATGGACATCCAGTTGCCTTCTAAGTGACAGCAGTGGTGACAGCGTCAAGCCACCATCTGCAGAGCCTCGTGGCTGGCCTGCCCGCCGGCTGGCGCGTAGCAGCTCACTTTGCCCCACAGTGGTGCTGGCGGGGGTGGCAGGGCTGGCCACTTATTAGCAGCGAGGCAGGGACCCCCACCCACTCTGGCTCCAGGCTGACGTGCACCTCACACCCCACCGCTTCCTGACGGACGTGCAGGACAGCGCTGTGGGGAAAGGAGGTGGGAGCAATGCGTGCCCGGAACAGACTCAAATTTCTAAGTGTTGCAGGTGCCACCTGAGAATGTCAGTACACACTGAGCCGAGGGGAAGCCTTGTCATCGATTCGGAGATGACAAGTACATTACTGCTCGTTAAGACACTGTGAGTGGAGCCAGAGGCAGCTCTGCTCACGTGGGGACTGCAAAGGAGACGTCCACCGACGCTTGCCGGGCCCCGAGGTTCTGCTGCGTCATCTTGTCTCCCTGCTTCCTGGGGCCACATCACACTTCAGACTCACCCCTGACAGGTGGTGAGTGTGGAGGAGTAAGGATCCTATAAATATTTCTGACCGTCACTGAGACATAAGCTCCCGCTTCCTGCGGCGTGCCCATCGATGCCCCGTGGTGCGCCAGGCCTAGCCATGCACGAGCGCGGGGTGTGCCCTCAGTGACCTTCCCTCACAGCCTCAGGGGATGACCCAAGCTCACAGGAAGGTCCAAGTACTGAGAGGGTGGTGGCATGAGCACTAGAGGAAACTTCCTGCAGGGCCCCCAGCCAGCCCTGTGATCTTCTCACAGGTGAAGGCTCAGGATGTGACCCACCATCCACAGGTCAGTCTCAGGGAAAGAGGACACACCACGCCGGGCGCGGTGGCTCACGCCTGTAATCCTAGCTCTCTGGGAGGCCGAGGCGGGCGGATTGCTCAAGGTCAGGAGTTCGAAACCAGCCTAAGCAAGAGCGAGACCCCGTCTCTACTATAAACAGAAAGAAATTAATTGGCCAACTGATATATATATAAAAAAAAAAAAATTAGCCAGGCATGGTGGCGCATGCCTGTAGTCCCAGCTACCCGGGAGGCTGAGGCAGAAGGATCACTCAAGCCCAGGAGTTTGAGGTTGCTGTGAGCTAGGCTGATGCCACGGCACTCACTCTAGCCTGGGCAACAAAGCGAGACTCTGTCTCAAAAAAAAAAAAAAAGAAAGAAAGAAAGAGGACACACCTGACCTCAAGCCCTACAGCCGTCACCGCCCCCCTCATCCCTCCGGACACGCCTCCTCTTCGGCGCACACTGCCCACGACCTGCGGCACTCCTCTCCTCGGGCCGGAGGCAGACACAGCGCGGCTCCCGGCTCCCGAGAGCAGGGCCTGCCCGCTGCGCTCACACTCGCTCTCCAGCGCCCAGCCACGCGCTCTGCGCACAGCAGCCTCCTCCCTGCTCCCATGAGCACGTGGGGGCCACTCGGAGGACTTATTTTGAAATGTAAAGAACTGCTGAGAAGAAACCAACTCTGAGTTTAAATCAGGTAAAAACTCCCATGTGCAAGCTAGCCGAAAACGAAATAAAGGCCCCTCCAGAGCATTTTGGGGCTGGGTGAGCAGAACTCACCACAGCTCTGCACAGCCCGCAGTGCCTTGTGTGGGTCTAAAACCCTCCTAGGGAGCTGACACACATCCATGGGCCTTTCTTGCATCCCAAATGTGGATCCATAGGAAAGAAATAAATATATTCTATAAGCTAATTGAAGAAAGCATTATGGGCTTTCCTATCTCTGTGATTCAGGAAAATGAGAATTCGGCTAATCAGCAGCTAGAAAATCCCAAAGCAACGTGCAGACTTCCTTCAGAAGCAACCGCCTGCTAGGAGCTGCCAGGACCGACCTGTCACACAATGCCAGCACCGCACAGAAAAGCCCCCACAGGTCAGGGAAGACGTCAAAGGAGCCAGGGCCCAATTTCCACTTGGAGTCACGACAGTCTCTGGCACAAGCCAGACATGAAGGGGAAGTGGAAACCCCAGGGGTTGGTTGGGGTGCCTCCACAGAAATTTCTGGGGAAAAAGCAATTCTCAGGGAGCCTGCCACAGGGGATGCTGCTTGCCATAGAGCCAGGCCTGTCCTGGGGTCCTGCCAGCAATGGGGCATTCCATCATGCAAACAAGAGCCCCGTAAGGGACGAGACGTAGGCAGACCGGGGCCACAGCCCAGATAGAGAATGCTGTTGCTGTGTGGTGACCATCGGTAACCCAGAACTGCAGTGAGGCAACCCTAGAATCACAGCATTCTAGGATTGAACAGGGCTCAACGGTATCCTGGGGAAACTTGACTCTGACGCAGAAATTCCATCTTGAGTCTTTCAGATAAATATCCCAACCTTCTGCTTGAATACCTCAGAGACAGGGTGGTCACTACCTGCAGAGGCAGCGAGTCCACTGCTGACTCCTAGGAGCATTTGGCCTTGGGTAGAAGGTCTCTCTCACCACAGGCCCACCCTCAGGGCTTACTCAAAACACTGGGTGCCAGGTAAACGTGCACGACAAGATGCCCAAGTGTCACTGACACTGGGCCTGTGTTTTCTAACTTGGAACTGCCTGCTTCTTCATACCTAGGAAGTCACTTTTAATCTCTA